ACATATGGGGGTAAGATTTAAAAACTAAAGAAATTGGGTTAAAACATTAGTAGAGAGTGGAAGGAGTTGAAAAGTAAAAAAAAATAAAAATAAGGATCTTTATAGTTTATAGTAGCTGAAACGAGTGCTGAAAATAGAAATAGGAATTCAAATATATTATATTTATAAAAACACCCAACATATAATTAAAAAAATTGGGCCCCATTGACATATGGGCCCTGGGCCCCACTCGTCACGGTTCAGGACCGGCCCTGTGTTCAACCAGTGCACTTATATAGCTGCGAGTTCGTTCATTATAAAAAAATATATATTTATAACGATTGGAACAAGTGAGCTTGTATCAATTGACCCAAGTTAAATATCATTAAAAATAGTGGTTAGATGGAGTTTGGAATACATGATTACCGCAGTGTGGTTTACGCTATCCATAAAACTAAGAATTATAGTATAAAATGTAACATATTAATCTAACAAATGTACATATTTAACTCTTCAAATTAAAATCATTTCTCCTTAAAGTAATTTGATAACAATACTCCTCTCGTTGTCTCAACTTCATTTTAGTAAGAAAAGAAATATTTATATTTTTTTTGGCAGTAAAAATTTAATAAAGAACAAATTCAAATTCGTTTTGTCCAACTATTTAATTAAGTCGAAAAGAAAATATAAATAAAATGGTAAAATGGAAATAATTTTGTCGTGTGTGTATATATATATATATATATATATATATATATATATATATATATATATATATATATATATATATATATATATATATATATATATATATATATATATATATATATATATATATATATATATATATATATATATATATATATATATATATATATATATATATATAAACTTTTGCATGCATGTATGCATATATGAACCCCCATTTCTTTTGCAATTGGATAAAACAGTTCATTCAAGAAGCTATACTTCACTAATATTGTTTTTCTTTGCCTTCAATATTTCACTAGAAAAAGGAAAACCTAGAACTACCCCCATTTGCCAAATTCATGTAGGAGAGGAATCCTCATTTTTCTAAGGGGTATTAAGATATAGGTCCCTGGTGACAAAACTTATTAGAACTAAATGACAAGCCTAACTAAACATGTGCTTCACATCCTTTATAAATTTCATTCCAAAAATGCCCTTCACAAATAAAAAATAAAATCTACATCAAATAACGTAGAATACATTTTTTTTATGTCGTATTCTTTTCATTATTATAAAAATCAAATTATATTCTTTTCACACTATTATAAAAAACATAAAAAAAATCTATTTTTTTCCTACATAATATTGAAAATTATAAAAAAATATATTTTTTCGTTTTTTTATTTAATTTACATATATTTTTTTTAAATTTTATCTGTTGTCAATATTGTAGTAGTAGACTATGAAATATTATGGTGTACTATATTATACTATGGTGTACTATGCTTATGGTGTACTACAGTATACTATGGTCTACTACAGTTTACTGTCCAAACCCTAGAAGCAAAATAACTCCCAGCCGTCGGCAAACCCTAGCTAGCAGCCGCCGCCACACGCAGCCACCTAACCCCAGCCACCATATCCGCCTTTATTCACTATGAAACTCTAGATCTACCACCACAGCCGCCTTTATTCATTATGAAACTCTAGATCTAGCACCATCGCCGCCAACGCCATAGCCACCGCCTCCGATAACCATCCCCACATAATCGGCCACCACCATGTTCGTTCGACTCACATACTTGGACTCAGATCTTCCCAAAAACGATGCACCTTCAGATCCACCGCTAGAATAGATTCACCGCTACTCCGCTACTCACTCCGTCATTTCCGCCGCCACCACCGTCAGATTCGCATCCACCCCGTTGCGTTTCCGGCACAATATTCGTGCCTTAGCAAAAAAAGAAAAAAAGGATAGTTGTATGGAGATCGGTCGAGAAAGCGAGAGACAGAGAGTGAGAGAAAAAGAGAGAGGGACATCGACAGAGGAGGGGAGGGGGCGAGAGACAGAGAATGAGAGAAAAAAGAGAGAGGGAATCAGAGGAGGGGAGGGGGCGGAGAAAACAAAAAGAATAAAAAGAAATAAATTGGTACAAGAAACGTAATATATGTAGGTTAAAATATTTAAGGTATAAGGGTAATATAGGGTTAAAAAAAAGATTAGGGATGTATGTCATATATTGTTTCAAATTAAGGATTTACTTAAAAGATTGGATTTGGACTTGTCATTTAGTCCAAATTTGGTTTGCTTTGAGGGACTCATAGCATATTACCCCTTTTTCTAATGGGGTTTTTGTGCATAAGTTCCTGATCAACCATCGTTATTATTCTAGGTTTATGGGCTATATTTCTTTCGCCAATAAGCTTATCCCTTAATATGTATTATAAATAAATGAAAAATTAATGTATATAACAAAATTACCTCAACCCTTTATACATAATTCTTAATTGTAATCCCAATTTAATTAATTTTGACCACAAAAATCTTTTTCTTGAAAAAAAAATTTTCAGAAATTATTTTTCGGCGTTGACTTTTTAAGTATTATTATTATTATTTTTTTCCGGTCTGTTTTTTTCCGTCGTCGGTTTCCGGTGTTGACTTTTCTTAGTGGTTTTTTTTTTTATTATTATTATTTTTTTTTTACGCCCGTCGCTAAACGTTGACCGTAATTGTGGTGTCATTAACGATAATTATACTGACAATAAATTAACGTAATTATACTGTCACTGACAGTACAATAACGTAATTGTACTGCTGGTGACAATACATTTATGTAATTGTACTGCCGTTGACAGTACAATTAGAGTCAACAACAATATTATTATTTGTTTTGGTTATTTTTTTTTATTTTGTTTGATTTGTTGACAAGTCGACGTAATTATATTACTGTCGTTGAAAGTAAAATAACTGTAAACACAATAATATTACTTTCAACTACATCAATATTTTTTTTTGGGTTTTTTATTTTGTTTGAGTTATTGACGGAGTAACGTAATAATATTACTGTCTATTATTGTAATATTACTGTAAATACAATAATATTATTGTGGTTGACGGTAATATTACTGTTGTTACAATAGTAATATTATTGTGTTAAACTGTAGTATCGTTGATTTTACTGTATTTAACAGTAATATTGTTAATATTACTGTCAACCACAACAATATTGTTGTTTAAACGGGGGCAAAAAGATGTTAAAGAAAAAAAAAAAAAAAAGGGCAACGCTGGAAACCTGGCGGTGACGAACGAAATTGTCCACAAAATTGTGTTTTGGGTCAAAATTGAATAATTTGTGAAATTTGGGGTCAAATTGAGGTTAGATTAAATTAAAAATGAAATTGAAACATATTAAAACGTGAGGGGGTATTTTAGTCTTTTACAAACCACTGGACCATGTGTTGATTTTTTTGTAAAAGAATTTATTGTCTGGACCTCATTATGAATAAGTACCATTGATGAACTTATTTGTAAAGTGTCATTTTTCTAATTAGCACTAACCTCTTTAGTTCTTAAATTGACTAATTAATAGAAGTATACTATTAATACTACATCTAATGATTTATTTTTTGCTTGAGCTCGAGTACAAACTCATTTTGGATTTTTTTTAATTATTTATTAATTTTTTATTATTAAAAATCATTTAGATTATAATAAAAAAATTACAAAATAATATATATATATATATATATATATATATATATATATATATATATATATATATATATATATATATATATATATATAGAGCCCGCGCGCGAGCTCACAAAAAACTAAAAAAGCTCGAGCTCGAAAAACTCGAGTTTGAGTTTGAACTTTTTTACCACCCCTAGGCAGGGGCGGATCCAGAGGGTTTTGGGTGGGGGGTGAAAAAAAAGTTTTGGGGTAAAATGGTATAAATTTTTAACTTTGAGGGGCTAAAGTGTATAAATGAATACATAAATAACCCAAAATATTAAAAAAAAAAAAAAAAAAAAAAAAGAGGCAAAATTTTTTTTTTCCTGCAGGGGCGGGGCCCCCCCAACACAAGCCTTGGGTCCGCCCCTGCCCCTAGGTGATAGCGCAAAGGTAGAGGAAGCCGGTGGAGGTTGGTGACGGCGCTTCGAGCAGAGGCGGGGTGCGGGGAGGGGGTGGTGTTGACTGTTGAAGAGGAAAACACGTCAGGTGTTTTTGTGAGCATTACATTTGTTGGAACTCGGTTGGATCCATAAAAAAAAATGAAAATTAATCATTAAAAAAAAAAGTTAGGGATCGGATGGCGTGCAATGGAAAGAAAAATGGCAATTTTGGAATTACTCCCTCCGTCCCTTATTATATGTAGTTTAACATGGTAAATAGGAAAATACACTTGTCATTAATCATTTTTTAATTAACTAATTAAAAGTAATTTATGGGCAAAATTATAAAAATACAATTAATACTTTATAAAAAACTCTAAAATAACAATAATATGGGACAAGAAAAAATCTCGAAAAGACATATAATAAGAAACAAATGGAATATAAAGTAGTATTGAAAAAATGAATGAATCTTTTACGACTATTGTAATGTTTGCGGTTTTTGATTTAGAAGATCGAAAAAAAGGCAAATGCTTCACGAATTAATGAACAAGAGAGATCACTCGCTCTCTTCCCCATGCAAAACCTGCGCATGCAAGTGGCTCCGAAACCTGTATATATATATATATATATATATATATATATTATATAAACATTGACCCACAACTAGTACACCAGCTCCTCATTTGAACTTTGCATGCGGAAAAATTCCTCTCTTTTTTCCCCATTTAATTTCCTTCAATTTGCATCTATTTATTAATAATTCCATAATTTTTTTTATTTTTTTTTAACCTAGCTCTAGCTAATCAAGTTTCCTGAACTCCTGCACAAATAAATTAAACATCAGTCCCCCATTTTTGGACCCTTGTTTATTTCTGTCCTTGTCTCCATTATACCTTTCGGTTTCTTCCGTTAACACTATTACACGCGCGCACATGTCAACACCGTCGTCTTCCGAAGAAGTCGAAAGAGTAGAAGGCGGCGGCGGATCTTCGTCACGCGGTAGAAGGATGAGATTATCGAGCATTAATAGTTACGGGGTTTGGCCGGAGCCATTTGTCGAAGCTTTTGCGTACAAAGTGGCCATTGATGCAGCTCTCAATCTTGGCCGCCTTGCAGCTGCCCAAGCTCTCTTCCACATTTTCCGGGTACCCTTTCATATATATCTTCTTCTTCTATCTCTATATATATATATAATATATTGGTCTTTGTTTGTGTATATATATATATATATATATGTTTGGTTTTATTGAAGAAAAAAGGTTTGAATAAACAATTGTCTAAAATCATGCACGCTAGCTATTATAAGTATAACACCAATAGAAAATACAATCTTTGACCCAAATTACATATATCAAGAAGCATGCCCTAAAACATGTTACATAATATATTCAATTTAAATAACCTTTTGGCTCAAGTGACAAGAAGTTACAAGACAAGAATTTAGTCTGACGCATGGTTCGCCGGAATATCGCGGTACACTGATGTTCCAGTTCCATTAAGTTAATATCGCATTGTTTCAGTTCCGTTCCAGCTAGTGACGGATCTGGTTATGGTCTAGGATGTGCAGCTGCACACCCTTGATTTTAAAGAAATTGTATTGTTATATATATGTTGGGAGAAAAGACTAAGGTGGTAAAGGTCTTCTTCATACATTAACGACGAACCCTGGTTAGACGAAACTGGGATTTATTTAAAAAAAAAAAAAAAATGCTAGCCTCTATATTATATTATTATTTAAAAATTAGAAATAATGTGACAATTCACAAGACATACAGAAATATATAAAATTTGTGTATATAGTTGTACGTGTACGTGTAGATATGAAATCTAAAAGGGCTAAAAGTGCAGAAAATCTTTTTTTCTGGGTACGTATGATTTGATCACCCTTTTGGTGCGGATCTTAAATGGACAAGGGTTCTTTTTTAGATATAAATCAAATAAATAAATCCCATGCTTCAATTATTAGTCAATTAAATGATATTTTCAGCTTGTTTTCTCTGCCATTTTTTACTCAGTATAACTTGCTTTCGGCATACTGATAGAGACCACTCCAAACCCACTCTCTCAGTACTTCACTTACAATATATACTTTCACTATTTGCAGAGTGAAAATTGATTGGTTTTTGAGTGATATTTTAACATTTATTAATTTTGTTAATTTTTTCATATTTTCAAATTTTACTTTCTCTCAACGAGAAAATCTCTCTCAATGCAAATATTTTTCGACTCGTATATATGATAACGGGTTTGAGGTAAATTTTATGTTTTTACGATTCTTGAATTATGTATGTCTCGAATAAAAATAAATAAATTATGCTATTTCCGTGTTGTTCAACACGGAGTCCTGAATCGCTGATGGGGATTAATTCCATGTTAATCAACACAAAATAACTAGATTTTTTTTTCAAAAAAATAAAAAAATTACCTGGAAATCGGGATAATCGCCGTTATTTTGGTTTATTGTCGCTTCCTAGATAAATTCCGAAAAAACGTAACAATTTGTGAAATTGAATAGGAGATAATTTGTTAAACTGTATGAATTTTTGGAATTATGTCGTTGGAAATTACTTTGCAACCTATCAAAAGTCCTTTTGTATAATTTGTTTCATTATTACATTTTCAAGTGAATTAAAAATTGCTAATTTTCATCTTAATCCACTTTTCTTTTTAACTTCACCAGGTTAATCCACTTGCTAATCACACGAAATCATTTGTTTATTTTTAAATAAATTTTCTGAATTTCATGTTTGCAGAGAGCTAGTGGCATTATCTCATCTTTATTTTCAATAAATGTCTCAACTTAGAAAAAAAAAATGATTTGTTCTGTAATTTTTAACAACTATAATAAAATATTATTTTTTTAATAATAAATATAAAATAAAATAAAATTAAATGCAGGTCTGTTCAACATGGAGGGCCATATCTCGCTCAGAGCTTCTATGGCAGAACCTCACCCAACGCATCTGGAACATCAACCACCTTCTCCTCCGCCACACATGGCGGGAGGAGTACATCTACCGCCACCGCACCGCCGCCAATTTCCGCCGCCGCAGATACGCCCACACCACCCTCCAATATTACATCCCACCAGACGACTACGACAACAACATTGGTCAACATTCATGCCGGCGGCTGGCACTTTCCGACCACCACCTAGCCGCCGGCTTCTCCGACGGTGCAGTTCGCCTCTTCCACCTCCCCAGCAGCCGCCACCTGTCCACGTTCTACCCTCAGCACCGAGATCGAATCGGCCGGTTTTCTCGTTCCGTGTCCGGAATCATCTTATCGGACATTAGTCTTGTCTTCGCCACGCTGGACGGCGATATTCATGCCACGGTCATTCACGGCGGCGGCACGGGGCCGTTGCGCCGGGCCCACATGGGGGACGTTGTGAACGACGGCGCTCTGGTCGACTTCACCGGCAATAGCCGGTGGTGGGTTGGTCTCTATGCCGGTATATATATATTTTCTTGATCTTTGTGTACTAACAATTAGTATACGAACATTCGTGTATATATATAAGCGCATGTCCATTATATTATTGTTCAGGTGTTCCGGGGCGCGCCTTTCACATATGGAACAACGAAACGGGAGAGCTAGTCTTCATCGGAGGAACACTCACCGATCCCCAAGCACTAATGGGTTGGCATTCACTCACCGAAATAACCGACGACGTCATCGGCCGAGTCCGGATCACAAACCACGGAAACGCCGTTATTGCATGCACTAGCCTCAGAGTCATCGTGTTCGACCTACAAAACCAAGTAGGCCTCGTCTTAGGCGAACTACAACAACAACTCGTGCGGTCAAGGGGCATTATCGTCAGCTCGTTCGACTCGAACGCTGACTCAGCCCTGATAGCTGACAGCCGTGGGGCCGCCACCTTGCGGAGGGTGGTCGATCTAACGGAGATTTGTAGGTTCACCGTTAGAGGAGGAGGGTTGGTGTTAGGGTGTGTGAATGGTGGATATGGGGTGGTGTTTGGTGGAGGGGTGATTAGGGTTTGGGAGATAGAGAGTGGGGGGTATATGTATAGTTTTAGAGAGAGAATTGGGGAGTTTTGTGATGCACTTGTTGTTGATGAGAGGTATGTGGCTGCTTGTGCTTCTAGTGGGGTTGTTCATGTTTGGGACTTTGGGGCTCAAATATAGAAACTTTCTAATTGTAGTATTTGTTTTTTGGTGTTTAAGTGATCAAGAATTAGGGTTTTTGTTTTTATTATTAACAAAACTATATTGAATGGGTCCAATTGGGCCAACAAGTGGAATTTAGGGTTTCAGGATTTTGTCTTGTTCTTGATTGTGATGTGATTGTTGAAGTTTGACTGATTTGACAGGGATGGGAAGTATTATTGTTGACCAAAAACACAACTTTTATTTATTAATTTGTATGCTTTCTTTGTTCACTTTTGTTTTCATTTTCTAAGTTGTTTTTAATTTCTTAGTTGAGACTTGAGAATATATAAATTAGTATTTGTTTTTCTCTTGGAAAACGGCCACCCTAAAATAAGGTGAAAATACTAATATTTACAACGAATCTTCAATTATATATTTTCTTAGGTGTCCCGTCCTTATGGTGTTGAATTTAACAAAATTTTGTAGATTCCGTGGTATATTATCTAGTTTGTACTCATTTTGTATAAAAATGCAGTTTCTGATGCACCGGCCCAAAAGACATATATTATGATCTTATTTCAAAATATGAAGTTCAAATGAGGTAAAATGAGTACAAATTGGAGAATATTTCACATAATCTAGAATATTTTGTGAGAATTAGATTATGATTTCTTAAGTCATACATGTTCAAAACTTCAAATAGTAAAATTTAACGTGTATTCAATGTTATTGATGTAGTATTAATTTAAATAAATAAAAATGATTAAACAAAACAAATTATTACATATAATTAATGGAATATAATCGTATAGTAAAAAAAACATTTATCAAATTTATTTATTTAATTAAAAAAATTCTAATTACAATTAACTTCATAAAATTTGATGTAACCGAACAAAATATAATGTTTAATTTTTTTTTTAATAAATTGAATTAATTTCATCCAATATTTAAAAAATATTGTCTAAAAATATTTATTTTAATTTAATGTTTATTTCCCGTAAATAAATTTATTTTTAATATAAAACTAAAGTGTCATGTGTTTGAGACATATAACTTAAAAACCATGTCCAAATTGAAGATAATAAAATTAAAAAGGGGCAATTTGTTATGGGTCCCTCTATCTTATAATTTATGTGTATAAATCCAAGTCAAAATTTCTATATTTTAATAAATTAATAATAATTATTCTGTCAAAAATACCCTTAGCCAAATCAAATCAAATCCCTTAAAAATATCTCTATCAAAACAAATTCCCAACCATCTCTCTTGCAAAATATAATAAAAAAAATAAAGAAATTAGTAAAAAAAAATATACTATATATTGTACAAATTCATACTCTAAAAACGACACCACCGTCGTGCCACCGTCTATCGTGAACTGCAAATAGCAAACTGACGCCTATGACTCTGTGAACTGCAAATAGCAAATGGCGCTTATGACTTCGTGAACTGCAAATAGCAAACTTAATATTATAATTTGTATTATAGAATTGCAAACAACAAAATACCAATGATTCAGCCGAAAAACAGCAAATTGGAAAAAAAAAATCCAGAATTTGCATTATTGAGTTGCTAAAAAAATATTACCTATGACTTCTCCAAATACAAACATCAAACTGAGGAAAAAATTCAAAATGAGAAACAATATGTAACATGAATTGCAAAATGCAAAATAAAAACAACGAAAAAAAAAACCGAGATACTCGCCCAAATCCCTTGCCGCCAGTCCTAACTCCGTCAAAAATCCTATGGCCGCCATCGCCGCAATGAACCCAATCAATTGAGTGCAACCCGTCAAAGCCCTCGGCGAGGATGGTAGGGACCGAGACGAAGATATTGTTGGGGACGAAGCAGAAGGTGGATTTCGAACGCCGGTGAAAAGGTGCATCAAAATCTCGTAGATCAATTCCCGTAGAAACACCACCCAAGATCGAGGCGAGAGTCTCCTGAATCGCCTTCCATCGTAATAACTGGAGAAGTAGAAATTAAATACAAACAACAAACAAGGTCTCCAAAATAGCAAACGATTTTCCCAAACAAAGAACAGCAAAATGTCCCACAACCAAAAAACAAACGAAAAATATTTTGTTATAGTTTGTTGAAGGTTCTAGCTATGGCGGGATTCAAAAAGAAAGAAAGAAATCGGAATCGAGAAAGGGAAGAAAGTAAAAAAATGATCAGAATTTCTTGTCGAAAAGATGCTTATTGGAAAAAAAAACTAAAACAGAAAAGAAGAGTCCGAAAAAAAAAAAAAATAGACGATGGAGAGCGAGATACGGGATAGAGAGGAAAAGAGAGATGACAGATTTGATATATAGAGAGAGATATACGTGAGATTTGAGAGAAAGGAAGAGTGATATATGGGATTTACTTTCTTTTTAATTAAGGGTGTTTTATGTAAATGTACTAATTATTTTATTTTATTTATATTATTTTATTTTGTCAAATGACCTAGACCTATATTCATCAAACAATTAGGATCTCCACCTATATAAGTCCAGAATAAGGGGTGTCTAGCCAATTTCCCCAATTAAAAAATAGGATGGGGGGAGTGTGTCACTTCCACAAGTCAAACGCCTCAGTCAACTAATTTGTGGTTAATAAATAGGAAAAAATTACCAGCCATCAGATCAAAATCGATCCCAATCCGACGGTCAATACCTCTCATTCCTTGTATGCAGGTAAAACCTTGCACTCTTTCCCCCGTTGGATTTCCTACCTTGTTTCCGGTTTCATCTTCGCTCTTTCCGTTCAATCCTTACACACAGTCACACACGCACACAGATATACATACACACGCAGTTGTAGAGAGGGAGTGTATAGCTGAAGGTTGGATCTAGATCTTCGATTCAACAATCAATCTTGCGCTGTGGTGATTGGATAGATAAAAGATGGCGGTTGTTGGGAGAAGGCCTCACGCGATTCGGATGTGCGTTTGCGTCACGCTCCTTCTGCTCGTCACCGTCGCTCACTCCTTCTACCTTCCCGGTGTCGCTCCCCAGGATTTCTTCAAGGTGCCGTTAATCCTTCTCTGCGTACACTTTTCTATATCTATTTATATGTTTATGTATATGTTTATGTATATAGATATGTATATATACACACTTCTCGAGTTTTGGACTGTTAACAATATCTGTGGATTAGTTCTTTGTAGAATACATGAATATTGAATTATGTGTTGAATTGATTCGTGAGTGTGGGTAATTGGTGAGCATGAGTGTATGTGTACATTTATATGAAGTGTGATTTTTTTGATTTAGGGCATTTTTAGATGATTAGATCTTTTTATGTGATTGGATTGGGGATTTTGAAATGAGGGAAATGAAAATGCAAAGGAAAGTGAAATCAAAGAATTTTGATTTCTGAAGTAGACTTTCTTTAATTTTGTTTGGAAGTTAAAGGAAAAATGTAAAAATGACTATAAATTATTGATTTTTTTTTGGTTATCTTACAAAAGTGTAAATCAATCTCTGTTGGGTCTATGTATCTTCTCCATCTAACCCCCATTTGTCGTCTTCAATGGCAATTGCAATGTAATATCTTTCAACCAAAAAGATAATCGAGAACCTCCCATTTTTCTAATGTACTTTTTCTCCATCTACTCACGATGGTCTTCTCCAATGCCAAATCCAATTCCAATTTGTAGAACCACTGATACCCTATTGGCCGCTCTCATCGACGCGGCATCCCGAGCAACAAATATCTTGACCGTGGAAATAGCTCAATCACAGTCATTGAAAGAGCACCCCCAAGGTTTTAAGTTCCAGGATGTTAGGTGCAGTGCTAATCTAACTTTGCAGAAGTACACCCTTTTGTCACGTTTTGTGCTTATGCGGATTCTTAAGATTATCAATGTCAACTGTCCAGATGTATTAGAGCAGCTTAACTATGCATATTTTGTATACCCTTTGATCTCGTAACTCATGCATCCCTTCCAGTCACTCTTTCTGAAATCCCCTGTTGCCCACTCCTAGGATTATTGATTTCTTATTTCATCTTCATCTGCGGTTTTAGAGAAATAAAAGGCACCACGAGAAAGCCGATTGCTATGAAAATAATGAATCATATATTCGTGGTAAGCGTCTCAATTTTAGAAGTACATTTGAGAATTGAGGGTGTGATGTCGAAGAGGGCTGGGAATAGGATCTACTAATTCTTCCTCCTTTAAATCTTATTTCATTTTCTTCTTATCGATCATGAGAACGGGTTCCCTCCATAGTAGTGGAAATTGGGATATTATGTAAAATTAAAAAGGGGCTGTAAAATCTTAATCGTAAAATTGGATCATAAAAACTGTAGTATTTTGAATTTTACATATCTTGTCAATGTAAATAGCATGCCAAATGTTATTTGTCTCACAATATACCGAACATCTCCTAACATGCATGAAGTATGTTCCAACATTAAAAAAGCATGTGTCATTCGTTGTTGTTGATAATTGGATTACTCTTTCCTTGTTATTGTTTGCTGTTTGTGTTAGAGTTGGAGTTCTGAAAATGTTTGAGCTTTACTTGAGTTTCACTTGTTTTGAAGAAAAAACAATTGAGTCTGGTCGAAACAAACTGAATCCTATCCAAGTTCTGATACAAATGTAAAATTGTTAAATCCTAGTAAATTCATAGATTTTAAAGATTTTACTCCCAACACCTAGAAGGATTTTGCTTGGATTAAGATTCTAGAGTAGTAAAATCGTAAAATCCTAGGATTTTAACTACTTTGGTTCCTTCTCCTCCCCCAATTCCTTCCTTTTGGTATCTACCAAGCACACTTTCTTAGCCTTATATTTTGGAACTATACTTTTGCATGTGACTGATATGTTATATTGTGTGGAATAAATCGCAGAATAAATAAGCAGTAAATATTATATTGACTACTACAATACATCCTTAAAAAAATTGGAGTTTCGCGGACTATTTTCGATTGACTAGCCACTTTATCTTCTTTGTAGCTTAGTCTTCCACTACATGGACTGCTATGCTTTTTGTTTTTTATGTCGTTTTCAATGTTAAAAGAAGACACCCGTGAAAGAATGTTTGAAGATAAATACATTGCCACCTAAACATAATGTGGAAAATAAGCTTTTATGGATTTTTGTTAATCGATAAAAACAGCAATGTCAACCTATGGGTGAAAAAGTAATATATATACCTGCGTTTTTGTGTTAAACTTCATTTACTACATATTACTTCAACTGATTCCTATGTATATGTCTATTGTTGAATATATACCTGAATAGTTTTCTTGGTTGTCTGTGATGCAGGGGGATCTACTGAAGGTGAAAGTGAACAAACTGACCTCAATAAAAACACAGCTTCCATATTCCTATTATTCCCTACCTTACTGTAAACCTGAGAAAATTGTGGACAGTGCTGAAAACCTTGGAGAAGTTCTTCGGGGTGATCGCATTGAGAACTCTCCCTATGTGGTAATTCTTCTTGCAGTCCCTTTTTTGTTCTTCTATATCGTTCATTTCGCTTTGTTATTTGTTCATTTCTTGTATGGTGAATTTAGATGGGTTCCTTCTAACTTTTGATTCGTGGGTTAAAAAAATTAATGTACTACAAAAAATGCGCAGTTTAAGATGCGAGAGCCACAGATGTGCAATATTGTCTGCCATATGACACTGAACGCCAAAGATGCAAAGGAATTCAAAGAGAAGATCGATGATGAATATCGAGTGAACATGTAAATCACCATGTTGAATGAATCTATTCCATTCTAATTCCTTATCAATAATGGCTAACCTCCTCCTTTGATGGTTCTTTTGACAGGATTTTGGATAATCTCCCTCTTGTTATGCCTTATAAAACAGCTGAAATGGTGTCCGTGGCTTATCAGCATGGTATTGATGTTGGTAGGAAAGGACATTATGCTGGGGTGAGTATTTAATTTTGCTTTGCTGTTGAAAAGTCTCTTTATAAATGGTGAGTTGAATCTTGAAATATTGTCTTTCTTTAATCTGTTGCTAATAGAGATCGGAGGAGAAGTATTTTATCTACAATCACTTGGCATTTACTGTGAAGTACCACAAGGATGAAGAAACTGCTGCTGCTAGAATTGTGGGATTTGAAGTCCAACCTTTCAGGTAATGCGGTTTTAACGATTCTTTTGCTGTATCTATTTTGACCCAGAACTGATCTTAAAGTTGTTATCTCCAGTGTAAAGCATGAGCATGATGGTCAATGGGATGATAAAACACGATTAACAACGTGTGATCCTCATGCAAAACGAAGTGTAACCGACTCTAATTCTCCTCAGGAGGTTGAAGAGAATAAAGAAATTGTTTTCACATACGATGTGGAGTTTCAGGTATATTCTTCTCTTTCTCGTTTGGACTTCATAATTAATCTTATAAATTACGAAGATTCTAATATTGCACTGTCCTTGTCTTGTAGGAGAGTGAAATCAAGTGGGCTTCTAGATGGGATACATATCTGTACATGGCCGACGATCAGATCCATTGGTTCTCGATTGTGAATTCTTTAATGATAGTCCTCTTCCTCTCGGGAATGGTGGCCATGATTATGCTCCGCACTCTCTACCGCGATATTTCCAAGTACAACCAATTGGAAACACAGGAAGAAGCTCAAGAAGAAACCGGGTGGAAATTAGTTCACGGCGATGTTTTCAGGCCTCCAATGAACTCCGATTTGCTCTGCGTTTATGTCGGAACAGGTGTTCAGTTCTTCGGAATGATATTGGTCACAATTATCTTCGCAGCATTAGGGTTCTTGTCCCCTTCTAACCGAGGAGGATTAATGACCGCCATGCTTCTACTCTGGGTTTTCATGGGACTTTTCGCTGGATACGCTTCAGCCCGTCTTTACAAAATGTTTAAAGGAACCGAATGGAAGAAAATGACTCTCAAGACAGCTTTAATATTCCCCGCAATCCTCTTTGCTATTTTCTTCGTCTTGAACGCACTTATTTGGGGGGAGGAATCCTCTGGGGCAGTCCCGTTTGGGACCATGTTTGCGTTAGTAGTGCTGTGGTTCGGAATTTCGGTACCGCTTGTATTTGTGGGTAGTTATGTAGGTTCGAAGAAACCAGCTATTGAGCCTCCGGTGAAAACAAATAAAATCCCGAGGCAAATACCCGAGCAGGCTTGGTACATGAACCCTATTTTCTCAATCTTGATTGGGGGCGTACTCCCCTTTGGAGCGGTGTTCATCGAGCTGTTTTTCATACTTTCGTCGATCTGGCTGCACCAGTTCTATTACATCTTCGGTTTCCTCTTCGTCGTGTTCCTTATCTTGATTGTGACATGTGCTGAAATCACGGTCGTGCTTTGCTATTTCCAGTTGTGCAGTGAGGATTACTTGTGGTGGTGGAGGTCGTATTTGACTTCTGGTTCGTCGGCGCTTTATCTGTTCCTTTACGCGGCGTTCTACTTCTTCACGAGGCTGAATATCACGAAGCCGGTTTCTGGTGTTTTGTATTTCGGGTATATGCTGATTGGTTCGTATGCTTTCTTTATGCTGACTGGTACTATTGGTTTCTACGCCTGTTTCTGGTTCACGAGGCTTATCTACTCATCGGTGAAGATTGACTAAAAAATGAAGTCGAAGACACATAAAAACCTCGTCAAAAGTAAACTTAGTTTGATGATATACTAGTTTGGCATATACTGTGTTTTCATACTAGCCTTGGATTATAGTAATTTTATGTCTTAGTTCTCATTTATGGAGAGGATATTAGTGACATTCTTCTACTCTTACAAGAAAATTTGTAAGAGAGCCACAAAAGCTAAATTACATGTTAAACTTATTTGTTTTCTATTGTCGCGAGATTTGAGAGGGTGCTCATAAGTCAAGTTGATGTCGAAAATTTATTTCAGTGTAGCGATGCGATGTTCGTAACTTTGCCATAGTTCTCTGCCGCATCCATGCAAGAGTTGTTACTCTGTGTTCATTGGTATTTTTTTTGCTCCTTCTCTGCCTCGGTGAAAGTTGCAGCAGCTACTTTCCCTTTTTGGTTTCTTGCAAGAAAACATTCTTGCTCGTTAAATTCGTTTCCTTTTTTGAGTGTAGTGTTAACAGGTTTTTTTGTCTCAATGTAAAAATATAGATTCTATCTTTATTATGGGCCCATAATTAGTAGCTATAGATATTTTAATATAAAAATTAATTCTCGTCATCTGTTTATCATTAACAGTTAAATGATTATATTTATTCTCTACAATTTCGAGTCTCAAACACATATGAAGAAAACTCTAAATTTATTTGTCTGTACTATTTCATATTAAATATAACTAATTTTTTAGCTCACTTTCAACCGTATTATCCTCCAAAACCGATAAATCCCATGTTCTTGGTTATTAATGATGATCAGTGGTATGTTATTCTCTCAAAATAATGTCGATGAAAAAAAAGTTTGAAAAAAAAAAGATGATACATATAGGTATTGAATTTTTAAATAAAGTGTCTATGTTTACCAAAAATATTTGTGTCATATTTTCTCAAAATAATGTGTTGAAGAAAACTTCTGAGAAAAAGATTTCACAAAATAAGTTGGTATATATATTAGAATTTGAATTTTTAAATAAAATGTCCTATATTTACTAAAACTTGTCTTGCATTTATCAACACCCTTTATTTAAACATTATATAATGAATTATTGGCTTAATCCCACTTTGCACCCTTGATATGTACCAGTTTGGCACTTTGCAACTTCGAAAAATAATAATAGTACTTTGCACCCTTAAAACACAATAAATCATTCACAATGCCCCTGCATTGAATAATAAAGGCAATTTCATTTTTCATTGGCGTTTTCTTTTTCGGGGTGCAAAATAAAAAAATAAATTGTTATTTTCTTGAACCTTCAACCTAATTTCGAGCGGACAAAGTGCGAAAAAATAAAAATTATACCGGCTTATTTAAAAAAAAAACTATATTTTCTTACAAAAAATTTAAAACAAGCTTTTATCACTAAATTATTCGATTGATGGATCTACTATTATAATTGATTGAAAATATTAGGTAAAAATATTTGGAAGAAAATATGATTTTCAAATAACTTGATAACGGAATAACAAAATGATATTTTTTTTTGTTAAATATTTTATTTTGATAAAAAAAGTATATAATTTTTAAATATGTTGATAAAATGTATTTTTATGTTTGTACTTTATAGTTTCAAAATGGTTGATGAATAAAAAAAATATTTGACATTAGGCATCCTAAAAAAATATTACTAAAAATATTAAAATGCATTTTTTAGCTTTAAAAATTCATCTGGGTGCATTATGCATGATTTATGATATTTTGAGAGTGCAAAGTGCTATTAATTTGTTTCGAGGGTACATAGTACCAAAATAGTATGTTTCAAGGATGCAAAGTGAAACCGAGCCTGAATTATTATTGGGCAGCTAAAACTAATACTAATTTTTCCTCACTTCAAAACCATCCAAATAAAAATTAGATAATAAATATGTAACGACATAAATACTCTTAATCAAAATCAATACCAGAAAAACATTAAAATCTCATTTTTCTTTCTTCAATACCATCCACACAAAATCGCTCAAGCCCCTCTCCTTCTGCACAAGCCCCCCTCAACCTTCTCCTTCCTCACAACAAACCCTCCTAAAAAAATCTCAAAACTAAAGAAACCAAAATCTCGCACAACTTTCAAAATGGTGTCAAATGACAACAAAATGGTAGTTTACGATCAAAGAGAACCCATCAAGATATGTATTATGTGTTTTTTGAGCTTCGAAGTCGATTTTGAGTTTTCTTTTTTGAAATCGGCCGAAAGTTTTCGAAACATACATGTCGAACTTTTTGTCAATTTTCGACACCAACTTGTCGAAAAATAGATTAGAAAAAAAATCGAATTTCGACATATACTGTATACATGTACGTGTCGAAATTCATTTTTTTTTTTTGTCTTTTTAATATGTTTCGACAAGTCGGTGTCGAATATTTACAAAATTTCGACTTGTATATGTCGAAAATTGTCGACAGGGTTAAAGAAAACCTTCAAAATCGACTTCCAAGCTCAAAAAAGACATTATTGCCAAACGGGTTGTACGATTGGTTCGGAAGTCCAGTTTGCTTTTTTCACCGCCCTTTACTGAACCCCTTTCTCGTGATGAAAGAAGCTGGGCCGATGCTTATCAAACGCATTTCTTTGAAAAATGACCTATTTCATCAAGTCCGGTTATAGAATAAGGTCCAGTCCTTACAACATTTGAGCGAAGGTTGAAAAGCAAGGTAAGGAGGCGAGACAGAAGAGTAGATCTATTATTGTAGGTAGGCATTTCTTCGCTTTTATCCTCCAATTAAAGAGTCTATCTCACTCCGATTAGAAAAGGGATTCATTTCAGGTTAGTGCGCCGGATATACATAATTTAATGGATTCTCCTTCCATGTAAACTAGGGTTGAGCAAAAAAACCGAAAACCGAAAACCAAAAGAACCTAGCCGATATGCACCGACTCGACTACTTAGAACGCATATACGGTAATTTGTTTTTGAAAACCCAAAAATATCGATTTGTGTGGAGAATAAAAAAATTACCGAAACAATTACCCAAACAAAACCGATTTATACAAAACAGTCGTTTTTATAAATAGTATAAATATTTACCGTCTTCCCCAAGCACGCCTCTATCCTTTGAACGCCTCCATGTGACATGTTTTTTATTAGTTAATTTTGGGTTGTGACATGTTTTTTATTCGTTTATTTTGGGTTGTTATTTGTTAATTTTCTCAAACAATGTAATGAAAGTCCAAATTCACTGTTGATCAAATATTAGTTTTATGCCAAATCGATAAACGAAATCGAAATCGAAAATAAACCAAATTGGTACCGAAACCGTTAACCGAAAACCAAAATATCGATTAACACCGAACCGAAAAAAATCGACATGTTCGATTCTTAAAATATGAAAAACCGATATTATCGGTACATGTTAGGTATATTGCAAAAACCGTGCCATACAACCCGTGCACACCCCTAACCAGTGGCGAATCTAGGATTTTTGCCAAGGGTGTGTTCGAAATTAAATATAGTAAAAAATATAATGATTGGCTAATAGTTTACGGGGGCTGCGCCCCCGAAATTTTTTTTTTGAATACTATACACATTAAATAATTAAAAATCTTTAAAATTTTTAAATTTAAAGGGATTATTTTACCATTTTTGGGCAAATTTAAGAAATATTTAGACATAAAATTGGTGAAAATATTAAACGAGTGGTAAACATATTATAGTTGCAAGTGACAAAATGTACGTTTCATTAGCAGATTTTGAATTTTCAAAAAGAAAAAAAAAACCCCACATAATTGTAAATATAGAAAAAAAATTGAAATAATACATATATATATTCAATATTTAGAATTTTGGAATAATTTATATTATATTTAATATTAAAGAAATGGTAAATAAATTAAAGTTACAAGTAGCAAAATATATGTTATATTAGGAGATTTTTTTTAAATATTAAAAAATACCTACATATTCAACATTTTTTAAAACAATTGAAATATTGAATTTTGGAATAATTTATATTATATTTAATATTAAAGAAATGGTAAATAAGTTAAAGTTACAAATAGCAAAATATATGTTATATTAGGAGATTTTTTTTTTTAATATTAAAAAATACCCACATATTCAACATTTTTTAAAACAATTGAAATATTGTATGTAATGGAAAATTAGGAATAAAAAAGAAACAAAAATAGAGAGGTTGAGACTCTCAGGCTTCGAACCATGTACCTCGGACGAATTCTATAGAGCACTTAACCAGTTAAGCTACAGCATTGCGATGACAATTTTTACATTTGCAGGTATATAGTGATACATATATAGGAAATAATTTTTTTTTTTAAATCAAGGGTGTGCAGTAGCACACTTGATACGCCACTGCCCCTAACGTAGACTACCATTTTGTTGTCTTGTGACTCCATTTTATAAGTTTTTGGAAGGTTTGGTTTTTTTGAAGGGTTTGTAAGAAGATGAAGAAGAGAGGGTTTAACGGGTTTGGGTTTGGGAGAGAAAAAAGAATGTTTATTTCTTTTAGGGTAAATTACAAACACCCCCCTGAGGTATGGTCAAATTACAAAAACACCCCTCTTGTTTGGATAATTACAAGCACCCCCTCAACTCATCAAATTTAGTGGAATTTTCGAGATTATATGTAATATTATCACTTTTGTACCCGTTTTATCCCATTCAAACTCTACATTATGAAGCAAGATGATCATAATATGTGATTTTTAACTTGTATATATCAGTTTGTGGTGCATCGGAAACTGTATTTTTTACACAAAAAGAGTACAAACTAGAGCACGTTTCACGAAATCTAGATGACTATGTTGAATTTGGCACCATAAAGGTGGAGGTCTAAGAAAAAATCATAGTTGACGGGGGTAGATGTAATTATCCAAACAAGAGGGGGGTTTTTGTGATTTTACCATACCTCAGGGGGGGTGTTTGTAATTTACCCTTTCTTTTATTATCTTCGGATTGAAATGAGGAAAAGAAAATTTGTTTGTATAAATTGTATTTTATTTGACTAGGGATATTTTAGTACTTTGCTAATAAAAAGATTATTTGTGGTATTAATCAAAGAATTTAAAAAAAAAAGACTTCTATAAAAAATATGGTATTAAATTTGGAGGTATTAAAGTGAGAAAAAACAGGTATTAATTTTAGCTGCCCCTTATTTATATTATAATGGAAATATTAATTTTCAAATAATTGTATGTGATATACAATTTCATGTTTGATTTAAGGAAAATGGTTAAATAACTAAACATATATATGAGTTTTTTTTTTGATAATTAACATATATATGAGTTAGGTCGACGGATTTTGACAATGTAAGAAGAAATGAATATCGTGTACGAATTGCAACAGATTCTGAAATTATGTGTGCGTTAAGCTACATTCATAGTTTCATTGTCATATGGATTTTCTTACCAACATTATGAAGTCAGCTGTGTGTAGATGGCAAAATTCAACTAATGCCATATTTTTAGGTGACAATATAACTATAAGGGTAAATTAAAAACAAAAACCCTTGAACTTAGACTAAATTATAAAAAACACCCCATATATCCGTTGTTACCAAAATTCCCCCGACGTTTGTTTCCATCTTACACCGACCTCGTTACGGTATGGTTTTTCATGGAATCTGTTTGATTTCAGGAAATATTTCACAAAAAATGTCGATCCTATTCCTACAGATGTGACTTTATGCTATTTTTTAAATGTAAAAAATTACCCTTAAGCTTTACACAAAATCTTTATTCTTATTAAATAACACATTCACAACTTTTTAGCATTATTATTACCCCTACGAGGGTAAATTTTGTCTTTAAAAAGTAACATAAACAAATTCCACATTTATAGGGGTAAAATTGACATTTTTCGGGAAATTTTACATGGTATCAAAAAAATTCCGTGAAAAATAACAGTGTACGTGGGTTGGTGTAAGAAGGAAACAAACGGCATGGAGATTTTAGTAATTACGGCTAGGTGGGGTGTTTTTCGTAATTTAGTCTAAGTTTAGGAGGACTTCGAAATTTACCCCAACTATAATTCAAATGGGGTTCCACAAGAAAATACCTAATTAGTGGAGTAAGATTGCGCAATGTCGGTGTCGTTCGTAATGCAATTAAAAAAATCCGAATAACTTGAACAAAATTACACTCAAATTCGAATTGAACTAGTTTTTCGATGCAAGTAATTTGAAACAAATTCAAAGCAACTTTGGATCACAATCCTATTTCCATATTGACATTGATGATTAGAGTTAGAGTCGAGGTTCAGGGTTCAAACGTCATCCCTACTTTTCCATTCGTAACATGTTTCGTATTAAAATAAAATAAAAAGTCGAAAGATGTATGAAGAAGAAACACAAGAAGACCATTAGGAAGTTGAACTAACACAAGACCATATTCCCAACAACCAATGCCAAAACATTTGATGTTTTCTCCACACCCCCAAATTCTATATAAACCACAACACACCAAAACTCCATTCATCAAACATCAAACACTTCAATCCAAGAATCACCTCTTTAAAAAATGGCATTAATTGACATCCGCTCTTCCGTTTTCTTGCTACTGCTAATCACTTTGTCGTCAATAACGGGCAACACAAACCAAGCAGAGGCGGCCCGCCACCTCCTTGAGATTCCAAAGCCCGAAATTCCAGCTTTTCCCAAGCCTGAGCTTCCAACTCTTCCCAAGCCAGAGCTTCCAACTCTTCCCAAGCCTGAGCTTCCGGCTTTCCCCAAGCTTGAGCTTCCGGCTTTTCCCAAGCCAGAGCTTCCAGCTTTCCCCAAGCCTGAGCTTCCGGCTTTTCCCAAGCCTGAGCTTCCGGCTTTTCCCACACCTCAGGTAACATTGGAAAAGGCTGAGCTGCCATCACTGCCTAAGCCCGAAATTCCGACTTTTCCCAAGCCCGAGCTTCCAGCATTTCCCAAGCCTGAGCTGCCAACTCTCCCAAAACCTGAAGTGCCTAAGTTGCCTAAGCTCCCAGCTCTTCCTAAGCCTGAGCTACCAGCATTTCCCAAGCCTGAGCTGCCATCACTTCCCAAGCCTGAGCTTCCAGCTTTTCCCAAGCCTGAGATTCCAACTCTTCCCAAGCCTGAGCTTCCAGCTATTCCCAAGCCTGAGCTGCCAGCTTTTCCAAAACCAGAAGTGCCTAAGTTGCCTGAACTCCCAAAGTTTCCGGAATTGCCTAAACCGACTTTGCCAGAAGGACCAAAACACCCTTGATGTGTATCATATAAGAACAAGTTATCAGAAAACGATACTCAGAGATTGAGAATTCAGTGGATCCACCTATAATTATATCCGACCTTGTCCTGGAATGATTATTAGTTTTCGTTAAGTTGTCGTCTTTTGTCTACTTCTCTTCTTTGCTTTCCAGTTGTTGAATCTGTTGTTTATGGTGTATTGTGTATCCTACATTTAGTGCTTTCAGCGTCTTTTAAATTTGTATCTCTCTGTTACCGTTGTCAATATATATTTCACGATTGTCCGAAGCTTATTTGATTCCATGTGCGTTCTCCTGTAATATTCAACACAACCCTTAAATATTTCAAGCAACGACATTCCGTTGAAATGCACCAAAGGGTGGAGCTTATATACCATTCTTCTCTTGATAAACTTCTTGGGCAGAAAGAAGGTTCTTTCCATTTTCTATGACCTAAGATAAAACAGTCTTTTCCCAATCATTCTTAAAATATGGTTCGCTAGACGATCATTCAGCCAAGAATAAAGATTTCGAGACGCCATATGCTTCAACAAACAAGTTTTATATAAAACACAAATCCTACACAAATTATATCTGCGAATTTTGTTTTCTTTAAATAGTTTTTACAAAGAAGGCGACCATAAACTTACAGGAGATTCAAACCGCCATTTCCGCTTCTCTAACATTTGCAGGTATCCCAACATCGGACCTCATAGTCGGTCTGTAATGATCCGGCACCTCAGCGCCAGCCTGTACACATAGCTCCACCACCGCAGGTGCCTGCCCGTAGAAGCTCCTCAGCTCCTTCTGTAGAGGCTTATTAACATCGGGCACATGCCATACGTATTTCGGTGGAATCAAGTCATCAAGAATCGCAGCCTGCCATCCATGCTGCCCGTTCCTCTGCTGGTGCTTGTGGGCCCCACAGTTCTGTGCTTTGTGACCGCTGGGACCCACATGCACTTCCGGACAATAGCCACACGCCCTCACAGTGTACAGCTTCATCAGCTTCTTCGCTCCGCCTCTCATTTCTTCCCACGCTTCGAGTGTTTCCTCAGCAAGTAAAACCGTTTCTTCTTTGCTGGACGGAGGGATAGTTTCGGAATCGAATAATTCAGACAAAATTTCCGGCTTCGGAGAATCTGGTTCGGGGTCTGGGAGCTCGCTCTCGTCGGCGTCGACGAATTCACGTTTTCCAATGCGTATGATTGGCTTTCGCCTCCGTTTGGTGGGATATTCCGGCAGGTCGACTCCCGCTTGAATGCAAAGCTCTACTACGGCTGGTATTCTTGGTACGGAGAATCTTTCCTCGTGTGGGATACGTTTTCCGAGGCGATCATACAAGTGGTAGGCCTCGACCGGTGCCAGTATGTCCTCGAGAAACGCTTCGCCCCATTCATGAGCTCCTTTACGGGCAGAAGCTTGTGGCCCTCTGCATGATTTGAATGGATGCCCAGTGGGACCCACGTGGATTTCACTGCACCACCTGCCATAATTTGTCGTCGGATTAAACTTTTTGTACTAAATGTTGTTTCGGTTTCATTGGTGCTGTTTTGACTTCAAATGTGATTTTTGACTACTTTTCAGTTGGAATTTATAAAAAGTTCAGATCATCAAATTTTGGAGTCCTTTGAGTTGGTTTTTAATCCAACTTGAATCAGCTTGATTGGATGTTCGGTGAGAGAGATATGAATGAATGAATATTGGCTACAACTTTGACGTTTTGAGTTTTCCGAAATTCAGGATGTAACTCATTCAAGCATAACTCTTTCACTCAACATCCAATCTAACTGATTGAAGTTGGATTAGAAAGCCAACTAAAAGGGCTCCAAATTCGGTGTTCTGACTTTTGACAAATTCAAATTGAAAAAGGGTCAATATCATATTTGAAGTCCGGAAAATTGGAACGACATTTAGCAGTTCAGAATCAAGAAACGCTAGTAAATTCAAAGACACGTGAATACAATAAGAACGAAAGAGTATTCTGAATTCATCTTATGTATTTTAGTTTCTGATATATAAAAAAAAATAGTAATCTTCAGCGATCTGTACAGTTGAAAAGAGTGACAAACGTAAAGACATGATTGGATGGAGAATTATTACTTGCAGGAATAGGCGGGCGTCACTTTCAAAAGCTTCTTGAGATTGTTTATTAACCTTATTCTTGCATTCAACACCCTATATGCGAGAGGAATTAGTTTTTCGACCACGAGGCCTCGTTTTGGAGGGGGGACAGCTCCTCTTGGTTTGTTCTTGCTATCTTTCAGCCTCTGCCTGGCTGCTCTTCTTAGCTCGACTATCGGTATAGGAAACGGTTTCTTCTCCTTTTTGGAGTAATAACGAGGCAAATCTGCATTTTGAGGATTATCGCATTTAATTACAAGTGCTTGCGCGTGAATCGAGTGTTGTGGCAAAATTCTGAAGTTGAATTGAAGGCTGAGTCCACTGCATCTGCTCTGCATGAAATTAAAAAAAAAAAAAAAGCAAACTTAATTCCATAATCTTTAATATCAACAATTCAGTGACAATTTAAAAGAAATATTTGAGAAAACTATGAAGAAACAGAAAAAAAAAAAACAAAAAAAAAAAAACGACGTTTTGGAAAACTGTAATGGTTGCATTACTCTGGAGAGATTCATCCGTAAATTATACTGGAGTAAAAAGGGTAAGGATATACCTTCATAGAGTTGAGCAAACTGAGACATTGCCATGTACTTTCTTTACTGTGTAAAGGTGCAGTTCTGCTAAACTGGGAATGCAGACACACACTATCCATTCCTGAAAAGGAAAAAAACGGAGATCGATTTTAAGTAGTTATTTATCCACTGTTGCCACAAGTATTTTGATATACCACGCACTCACCACCCGATAATCACCAATAGAAAAGATAATGGATGTAGTAACGATATATAAACTTAGTAGTAAGCAGTCAAAAATGGCAGAAGCAAATCGGGGGAACTAAAAGAGGTTACGAATCTATTTCTTGTTCAACCCTTCAAAAGAGCAGAAAGACAAGACGAACTACACAATTATTATCCAGAGACAAGATAACCAAAAAGAAATATAATTACACAATAAAAAAATCTAGGAGATACGGAAAACGAACGTCACCAAGAACAGGGAAGTAGAAAGTCGGAAAGAGATATTAATGGAGTCCAAACAAAGGTTACGCTAGTTTTTCCTGTACTACAAATACGATAACACCGAACGAATCAATCACCAGGTTGACGATAAATCAAGACATCATCATCATCATCTCAGTTTATTTTCAGCTCAAGTTGTACATAACTTCATGTAAATTTTTTGTACCTAAGAGCACCACATAACAAACATAAGAAAGCAAAAACATCAAACTTTCGAAAAAAAAAAATTGGACAAGATAATTGTATATTATTATCTCTTTTAATCCTTGAATCAAACGTTATCTAACACGTGAAACAGAAAAATCCTCCCAAAGCGATCCTACTGAAAATTAGTAAAATAAACGAAGACACAAACAAAACAAGCAATACAGAATTTATGAAGCTCTACGATTAACAATACAAACAGCACTGGGTGCCCATAATTCGCCAATTCATCCATAAATCCAATTTAAGAAAAAGAAAAAAAAAAAAAAAAAAACCAAAATTGGATTTCAAATGTAAGACGAGAGAAAAGAAGTGTGACTGTAATTTGTGAACTTGGAGGCTGAATGAATACTTACTGAAACCGATGGAGGACTCTTAGAACAAATAACTCCTAATGCGAAATCCGATGCATAGCTGGGGATGAACAGTGACGGATACTCGAGGGTAGGGGATGGGGGTGGGGGGGTGATTTATGTTCAGATAAATGGATGATTTCTTTTTATATAATAATTATTTTGGCTAAGCTTAGATATTTTAAATCATAGTTAATTGCCTAATTGTAAATTGCAAGAGTTTTTTTTTTTTTTGTTTTGTTTTTTTTTTTTCTTTGAATAAATAAATATTTCATAAAACTTAGAAAAACAAAAGCTATGTAGAATGGACACAAAAACAAGGATACTGGAATTTGGGGAAAAACATGTAACCTATTAAGGGCAAATTACAGTCACTCCTCAACTACAAAAAAAAAGAAAACCCTATAAGTTAGTAAATTTAGTTGTTCATTCGGTAAAATTGTACTGAAATTTTGGTACTCCAAATTTTCATGTCGTTTATCGTACAGTTCAATAGATAATCGAATTATCAAAATTTTATTAAAAATATTTAATTTTTTTATAAAATTAATTTTAGTTTAAATATTAATATTATATATATATATATATATATATATATATATATATATATATATATATATATATATATATTATATCGAATCGATTTACCGGTTCAGTAATCGGTATGTACCGGATTTTCGTTCAGTTCGATTAGGTTTGGTTCGGTCGGTTTACCAACCGGATGAACACCCATGTATAAATTTGACAACGTATGGGTGAACGTGTAAGGAAATACATAGTTGAGGGATGCCTGTAATTATGCAAACAAGAGGGGTTTTTTCCTAATTTGACCTTACATCAGGGGTGACCGTAATTTGTCCTACTATCAACTATTAGTTTTGGAGAGGTGATATTCGCGGTAGCAAAATTACGAATGCGTGTTTAAAAAAATCACTATCTACCTATCTTTCTCTCTCTACAATTTTATTTTTAATAGCTTTTATATCAGAAACTGTTCCAAAACCCATGTTATTGTAGATTTAAATCCACCATCTACCTATCTTTCTCTCTCAACAATTTTATTTTTAATAGCTTTTATATTAGAAATCGTTGCAAAACCCATGTTTCATATATGCGCACTGCTGCCAAGGCTCGAACACGAGTTTGTTGTGTCACAGACGAGTCCCTTGACCAACTAGCCTACAATGAATTTGATAACTAATACTTATTTAAATATAATGATTCATTTCGTTTATACTGGGCAAAAAATAAAAAATTTGAACCGGACGACCAATCTAGGCGTCGTCTAGACCGAACGCCCGAACCAATATTTCACGCCCAAAATGGGCGTGTGAGATCAGTTTCCACGCATGGTTTAGGCGTGGAAACTGCTCTCACACGCCCATTTTAGGCGTGGAAACTTCGAAAACGTAACGCTAAAAACAACCCAAAATCACGATTTTCTGGGAATTTTCACATGATTAACCAGAAATTCAATATATATAGCTACTTTAGATGATTAATTACCTTTCAAATTGACGAGATTTTCTGATTTGGAAGGATTTGTGAGCAAGGTTGAGGGTTTTTGTGAATTTTGGTGCTTTTGAGGGTTTTGGGGTTCGGGTGGATATGGGGGTTTTTAGAGAGAGAAAGAGAAGACTATTGTGAACGACATTCGTAATTTTGCTGCCGCGTAAATCTGACGCAGAACGGAAGCACGGTAAAAAAAAATTTCTACGAATTAATCTATAGAACAAACGAATTCCGGAATCCACCAGAAAATTAGAAAATAACTCTCAATTTTATTGATAAGAAAAAAAATTTAACGTGCTAAAAACTAAACCTACTGGATCTATATATAATACGTAAAGCAAGAAATCCTAATTAAACTAGAAAATAGAAAATTACGATAAAATAGAACTCAAAATATACTAGGACTCTAACTATAGGAAATTGAAAATAACTGAATATTAAACCTGCTAGGACTCTAATCCTGATAGATTACTTGTCCCTTATCAATCCCCTCTTCTTTGAAAGAACTCGACTCCGAGTTCATATCTGGATAGAGTGGATCATTCTCACGATACTCATATAAGTCAGCAACGTTAAAAGTTTTTGAAATGCCCATGGTTGATGGAAGATCGACCACATATGCATTGTCATTGATCTTATGCAAAATTTTGAAAGGACCATACTTTTTCGGTTTCAATTTGGTGTATGTGCCTGCCGGAAACCGCTCCTTCCTAAGAAACACCATGATAGAGTCACCAACCTCAAAAACCTTCAAACGACGATGCTTGTCTGCAGCCGCCTTGTATTTGGCATTCCTTTGCTCGAGTCTTTCCTTAACCGCGACTTGAATGTCATGAACCTCATTAGCCAATCGTTTTGCCGCAACACTAGACCGATGCTCTTTAGGTAGACGTATTAAATCCACCGCATGCTTCGAAACAACCCTATACACCAAACAAAAAGGAGACACACCTGTTGCAGTATGCACGGCACTGTTGTAAGCGAACTCAGCTTGAGGTAAAGCATGATCCCATTGTTTAGGTCGATCCCCACAAATGCATCGAATTAAATTCCCTAGTGTTCGATTAGTCACCTCTGTCTGCCCATCGGTTTGGGGATGCGCCGTGGTACTTCGATTCAGCGAAGTATCGAACATCTTCCATAGTACGATCCAAAAATGGCTCAAAAATTTAACATCCCGATCAGAAGTAATAGTCTTCGGAACGCCATGCAAACGAACAATTTCCCGAAAAAATAACCTTGCAATGTGCGAAGCGTCTGATGTCTTTCGACAGGGGATAAAGTGAGCCATCTTGGAAAACCGGTCAACCACCACAAAAACCGAATCAACTCCACGTTGTGTCCGAGGCAACCCCAACACGAAATTCATAGATAGGTCCTTCCAAATACCACTAGAAACAGGAAGAGGAGTGTATAGCCCGGTGTTCTGCGATTTGCCTTTTGACACTTGACAAACATAGCACTTTGCCACCACCTTTCCCACGTCTTTCTTCAGTTGAGGCCAATAAAATCATTCTTCTACACTGCAGATTGTCTTATCACGTCCCAAATGACCACCTAGTCCTCCGGCGTGCAAATCAATAATCAACTTCTCGCGAAGAGAAGCTCTCGGAATGCACAATTGATTACCCCGAAATAAAAATCCTTCGCTGATGTAAAAATCATCAAGGGTTTCTTTTGCAACACATTCACTCCAAATTTGGCCAAAATCCTCATCACTCTCATATAATTCTTTCAAACAGTCTAAGCCAACCACCTCTTCGCTTAGAGTTGTAAGTAGAGTTGCCCTGCGACTTAAAGCATCCGCGACACGATTCGTAGCCCCACTTTTATGCTTAATACGAACGGGAATTTTTGCAAGAAATTCATCCACCTCACGTGCATATTATCCACATTTTTTTGGCTGTTCAAAAACTTTAAGGCCTGATGATCTGTATATAACACAAACTCCCGCTGAATTAGGTAATGTTCCCACTGCTTCAAGGCTCGAACCACTGCGTAAAACTCTTGATCGTAAGTGATCCACTTCTTACGGGCATCGCCCAACTTCTCGCTGAAGAATGCAACGGGTCTCCTCTCTTGGGATAAGACCGCCCCAATGCCAACTCCACTTGCATCACATTCTACCTCGAACACTTTAGCAAAGCTAGGCAACGCAAGCACTGGTGTAGTACTCAGCTTTTCTTTGATCACTGCAAAGCTATGGTCCGCCTCTTCGCCCAAATGGAATTTCCCTTTCTTCATGCACTCCGTAATAGGCGCCATTATTGTACTGAAATTTCGAATAAATCGACGATAGAAAGTAGAGAGTCCATGAAAACTACAAACATCTGAAACGGTTTTAGGCGTTGGCCACTCCCTTATAGCCCTTACCTTCTCATTATGAACTTGAATTCCATCCGCACCAACTACAAACCCCAAGAAAACCAAACTTATCGCCATGAAAGTGCACTTCTTCAAATTAATGAATAGTTTATTCTCCCAGCAACACAATTAATACTTGGCGAATATGTTCCATATGCTCGGTTTCATGCTTACTATAAATCAATATATCGTCAAAATAAACCACCACGAACTTTCCAGCAAAAGGTCTTAATACTTGATGCATCACGCGCATAAAGGTGCTCGGTGCGTTTGATAGTCCGAATGGCATCACCAACCACTCGTACAACCCGTCCTTCGTTTTAAACGTTGTTTTCCACTCGTCCCCTGGTCGAATCCGAACTTGATGGTAACCGCTCCTTAAGTCAATTTTCGAGAATAGCTTAGCGCCCTCCAACATGTCCAACATATCATCAAGTCGCGGGATAGGAAAACGATATTTGACGGTAATCCTGTTGATTGCCCGACTATCAACACACATTCGCCAACTGCCATACTTCTTCTTCACGAGTAGCACTGGAACTGCACACGGACTCATACTCTCTCTAATAAATCCCTTCTGCAACAATTCTTCTATTTTCTCCCGCAAGACCTCAAATTCTTGAGGACTCATTCGATAATGGGGAAGGTTTGGTAAGCTAGCGTCAGGCACGAGATCAATGTGATGCTGAATATTTCTCATTGGTGGAAGAGAGTTGGGTAGTTCATCAGACAACAATTCGCTAAATTCAGCGATTAGTGGCTGCACCAACTCAGGAGTCACCGGTTTTGACCCGTGGTCATTCTGCTCATTTTGAACCCCTAATAGCTTGAAGCTCATCATATACCACTCATCTGTCGACTTCATCTCATTCACGAACTCTCCTTCTGACTGAGAGATAGAAAATACTGGTCTATCAACTGCCTTTGTCTTCCGAACGGGATCGTTCGATGGAAGCATGATAATTTTTCGACCTCCCCATTGAAACATGCACGAGTTGTCGCGACCCCTATAAATAATTTCCACATCATATTGCCACGGCCTCCTCAATAAGACGTGGCTAGCATCCATATCAATAACATCACAGAGAACCTCGCTGGAATAGTGTTTTCCGATGGAGAGGGGCACTCGGCAATGTTCAGTTACCTTAGCCGTCGGCCGCTTCTTAACCCATCCAATCGAGTACGGCAATGGATGCTTCTCCACTGGTAATTTCAGATGATCCACCA